GCTGGAAGTGGCACTGTGGCTCAAGTGGTAGAGCGCTAGCCTTGAGCTGAAGAGCTGAGGGACAGCGCCCAGGCCCAGAGTTCAGACTCCATGACCAGCCAAATAAAAAAAAATAAAATAAAATAAAGTGCTGGGGGAGTCCAGAGCAGTCTGGAACCCACATGCACTTTGTGCCACTTGTCACCGTGGGCAGGGGCCTATATTCAGGAACTCAGTCCATTTCCCAATGTTAGGGCCCGGGCTGCAGGGGCTGTAAGGTCAGCTGACCAGTGGCATCTTCTTCTGCAGAGAGTGAGAACTGGCGCGAGCAGCTGGCCCTCATTGTGGGCACGGCGGTCGTGGGCGTGGTGCTGGTGGTGGTGGTGGTGGTGATCGCCGTGCTCTGCCTCAGGTAAGGAAGGACTTGGGGAGCCCTCGGGCCCCTGGAGGCCCTATGCGGACGGCCTTGTGAGAAAAGCTCTATCGTCTACATACTGCCCTGTTTTCATTTCCACTGTCCTCTTCTCTCGTTAGAGATGCTTGACTCAGTTTTACTTTTTGTGTATCTGTGTATGCCAGTCTTAGAACTTGAGTTCAGGGCCTGGGCATTGTCTGTGTGCTTTGTTGCTCAAAGCTGGTGCTCTACCACTTGAGCCACAGCCCTACTTGCAGTTTTTTGGTAGTTAATTGAAAGTAAGAGTCTCACAGATTTTCCTGCCCAAGGCTGGCTTTGAACCAATATCCTCAGATCTCAGCCTCCTGAGTAGCTAGGAGGACAGGCGTGAGCCACCTGATCCACCCCTGGGTTTACTAACCTTTTGCTTCTTTCCCCCTGGCTGCAGGAAGCACAGCAGCGAAAGAGAGGTGGAGTATTCGGACAAGCACGGACAGTATCTCATCGGGCATGGTAGGCAGGTGGACCCTAAAGGAAATGGGCAAGCAGGGTGGAGGCTGGATACCCGGAGTCCAGAAGTTTCTTCACAGTTCATGAGGGCCCCGGTGACTCCTTAGGTACGAAGGTCTACATTGACCCCTTCACTTACGAAGACCCTAATGAGGCAGTGAGGGAATTTGCCAAAGAGATCGACGTGTCCTACGTCAAGATTGAGGAGGTGATCGGCGCAGGTGAGGCTGGGTGATGGGGGAGGGGGCGCCTAGGAATGCAGCAGGCTGGGAGTCAGGGCACCCTGGGGCAGTGGAGAGCCACCCTTGACTGGATCTTTCTGTGGGCAGGCGAGTTTGGAGAGGTGTGCCGGGGGCGGCTGAAGGCCCCGGGAAAGAAGGAGAGCTGCGTAGCAATCAAGACCCTCAAGGGTGGCTACACAGAGCGCCAGCGTCGCGAGTTCCTGAGCGAGGCCTCCATCATGGGCCAGTTTGAGCACCCCAACATTATCCGCCTGGAAGGAGTGGTAACCAACAGCGTGCCCGTCATGATCCTCACGGAGTTCATGGAGAATGGAGCCCTGGACTCTTTCCTGCGGGTGAGTTTGTCCCACCGGGGTCTGAGTCCAGCCACACTCCACAGCAGGTGTGTCCCGCTGGGCCTGGCAGTGCACACTTGTAATCCCAGCGTGCCGCAGGCTGGGACCCGAGGAGCCTGAATTCCAGGCCAGCCTGGACTACATAGTGAGACCAAATCGCAAAAAGGAAGAAAAAACCAAGCACTGGTAGCTCACACCTGAACATCCTAGCTACTCAGGAGGCTGAGATCTGAGGATCGCAGTTCAAAGCCAGCCTGGGCAGGAAAGTTTGTGACTCTCTTATCTCCAGTAAACTAATCAGAAAAAGCCAGAAGTGGCACTGTGGCTCAAGTGGTAGAGTGCTGGCCTTGAGCAAAAAGAAGCTTAAGGATAATACCCAGGCCTTGAGCTCAAGCCCTAGGACTGGCAAAGGAAAAAAAAAAAATGGACAGATTAAGGTCTACACCTGTACCAGCCTTCTCCTCTTGGTAACTCTGGGCTTCCCACTCTTGTTTTGTTTTCTTTGAGAAAGGTTCTGACATAAAACTTCCCTTTGACCTCTCTGTGGGGCCAGCTGGCTCTCTTGCCAGTTCAGAGACCCAGGAAATAAAGCTTTAGTAAACAGCTTTATTTGTTTTTCTTTCCTTTCTTTCTTCCCTCCCAACCCTTCCCTACCACCTACAGAGTTTGAACTCAGGATCCTCACATTTGCTTAGCTTGCTTGTTCACAACTGGTGCTCTACCGCTCAAACCACACTGATAACTTGACTTTTTACTGGTTAATTAGATAGTCTTGAGGACTTCTCTGCTTAGGCTGGCTCTGAACCTTGATCCTTGTGATCTCAGCTTCCTGAGTATCTAAGATTTACAGGCATGAGCCACTGGCCCCTGGGCATATTTGATTTTAATTTTAGTCTTATAGAAATTAACAAAATAAGTAGACTTGTGCATCTGTGTGATGTGGGGACTCAGACCAAGAGCTCTTCCTTCATCCAGCACAAATGGACTTTTTATTTTGGGGGGGAGGTCCAGTTGTGGACCTGAACTCTGGGCCTGGGCGCTGTCCCTCAGCTCTTCAGCTCAAGGCTAGCGCTCTACCACTTGAGCCACAGTGCCACTTCCGGCTTTTTCTTTTGCTTATGTGGTGCTGAGGAATCAAACCCAGGGCCTCAGGCATGCAAGGCAAGCGCTCTACCACTGAGCCACCTTCCCAGCCCCCCTCCTTTTTTTTTTTAAATCAGTTGTGGGGCTTGAACTCTGGGCCTGGGTGCTGTCCCTGAGCTCTTCAGCTCCAGGTGAGCACCCTACCACTTGAGCCACAGCACCACTTCTGGGTTTTTTTGTTGGTTAATGGAGATAAGAGTCTCACGGACTTTCCTGCACAGACTGGCTTTGAACCGTGATCCTCAGATCTCAGCCTCCAGAGTAGCTAGGATTACAGGTGCCTGGCAACAAATGGACTTTTTTTTTTGTATTGGTACTGGCCAGGGCTTGAACTCCGGGTCTGGGGGCTGTTCTTTAGCTTTATCACTCAAGGCTGGCACTCTGCTATTTGAACTACAGCTCCACTTTGGGCTTCTTCCTGGTTAATTGGAGGTAATAGTCTCCCACACTTTCCTGATGAGGCTGGCTTTGAACCTTGAGCCTCAGCTCTCAGCCTCCTGAGTAGCTGGGATGACAGCCACCCATGAGCCACAGATGCCCGGGTTAAATCCTGGAGAGTTCTTGTGACATTGCTATGGTGAAAAGTGGACCCTTGTGTCTTAGATGGCTCCTACCGTCAAGACGTGTGGCTCAGCTCCACTGTTCTGTGTTTGCTGTCAGCTACGCTCTTCTTGGTACTCTGAGAAGTAGGGTCAGGTGTGTGTGAAGAGCTTCACAGGGCATATGAGGGTGCTGGGGAGTTTATGTGGTTCCCTCAGGAGAGACCCATTCTGGCTTCCACCATCAACCCCAGAGGACAGCCTGACCCCTCCCTGGGGACCCACCAGTCTGTATTGTGGCCATGCAAAGGTCCTGGTGCAGGGTGAGGAGGAGGATGTATAGATGAGGAAGAACCAGCCATGGGATGGGGAGTAGATAGAACTAGAGGAAAACAGGCCAGCTGCATGTAGTGGCGGCCATCTAGAATCTCAGCTACTTGAGGAGGTTGAGACCAGACAGAAAAAAGTCACCAAGACCCTAGCTTAAAAAGAAATAGATACACAATGGAATTCTATGCCTCCATCAGAAAGAATGACATTGCCCCATTTATTAAGAAATGGAGGAGCTGGGAAGGTGGCTCAGTGGTAGAGCATTTGCCTTGCATGCATGAGGCCCTGGGTTCCATTCCTCAGCACCACATAAGCAAA